GGGACTATCGAAGCGCAATATCTAAAACTTTTCATTGTGTTATTACTCCCACTCATGAGTTCTTTGTGCAGAATTGTGTTTCATTTAGCATACATGCTAAATGTATTGACTATCATTTAAGACAGATCATGATCGATGCAAAATATATTGCATCTAAAGAAACGTTGTATGATATTTGGTTGACAATTAATCTTTATGGGAAAAAAATTTGCTGTGCTCATCTCCACTGCCAGCCAACCTGAATGAAAAGGATTATTTTCCCAGCCAGCAACTTTAAATAGGATTAAAATCCCACGCAGGACATTTTAACAGTCATTTTTTAATTAGCAAATTTCGAATTGCTTCCAATTACCAGCTAGCAAGACAGTATGACGGTTTAAGTCTCAAAAAAGTATTACCTTTCTCTTGTAATTAGCCACAATAATTGGGTAAACTTATTATGAAGGTCTACTCTTTGTTAATCAGTTCCTTAACTGTTACCTGTATAGGATTTGGTTCATAAATGACTCTGTCGTAACTCGTAGACGTTAACATTTATTTGAGCAAGTGTATTCAAGTCTGTGTGTTCGCTTTCAATCAGTCTGATAACAATCAGAATTCTCAGAATTGTGGGATCGTGTTATTTTCACTGACAATAAAATTTGATTATCTAGTGGATTTCGCACAAAATTGTTTTGGTAACTGACAGATAGTGAGACTAATGAGAGCTACAGAAATCATCACAACGTTTTAAAGTGTTTAGTTTACCTGGTTTGATTTAAGCATTCGTTTAAATTTAGTATTAAGACGAGATTCTAACTTGTTTAAGCGCAATTTTTCACTTGCACGCCCAAATTACGATGGAACTTAGGACTTGCTATCGCTGAAGCAGGTTGGCTCTGAGTGCGGTGTACTTTGATGTTTTATTCATGGTTGTTGTAATTAGTTGTACCTTAATGTCGTCGCTGTATTCTGGCGATTAGGGTGTGGTTGATTATTTGTTGTAGACTAAGATGGTCAATGTACGTGCAGGCCGTTATTTGGATGTAGTCGGTGTAGTTTTTGTAGTTCCGGGTGTGAATTTGTTTGGTTGGTGTAGTGTTGAAGAGTTTAGTACAAGCTGATTATCTTGAAGCAGTTCTGCAGTTTGAAGTAGCTAGCCATAATTACCTAGGTCTGAAAAACTTTAGATCAAATGCATTGTTTTCACTCCTACTTGTATAATGCTAAGCGGTGCAAATATGCTCACCTTTTATGGGTGTGAGTTTATCCTGGAATCACAGTTACACTAATTCGACGCTCTCAAGGCGCTCAGCTGCGAGTGATGATTCCTATTTACAGAAAAGTATTCAAGGCCGTGTAGACACTGAAAGATAAATGATCTCATTGTATCCTTTATCAACCAAGGGGTTCATGTGCAGTTAGGGATGTATGTTACAAACCATTGACACCACAAAGGATTCATGTATCAATAGGGTGATGGCACGAAACATCTTCAAATTCAGACTTTATAGCTCTTGCAAAAGGAAAAAAATAAACCTAGTATAGTTGAATTCTCCGGATCTTGGGATCATGCAATTTGCACTGATAATGAAATTTGATTATCTCGTGAATTTGGCATAAAAATTTTTTTGGTAACTGACAATTTGTGAAACCAATGAGAACTATAGAGAACACCACAACGTTGTAAAGTATTTAGTTTACTTGGTTTAATGTAAGAATTCGTTTATATTTAGTATTAGGACAAGATTCTAATTTGTTAAAGCGCGATTTTTCGCTTGCACGCCCAAATTGCGATGGAACGTAGGATGGCTCTGAGTGCCGGTGTACTTGATGTTTCATTCGTGGTTGCTGTAATTAGTTATAGTCAATGTCGTCGCTGAATTTAAACAGTTAAGATGTAGCTGACTTATCTATTGTAGAATAATATGGTCAGTGTACGTGCAGGCCGTTAGTTCGATATAGTCGGTGTAGTTTGTGTAATTATGGGTGTTAATTGGTTTGGTTGCTGTGGTTTGAAGTAGTTAGCCATAATTACCTAGGTCTAAAACCCTACCTCAAATGCACTGTTTTCACCGTCACGTATGATAGTCTCTTTGTAATGCTAAGCGATGCAAATATGCTTACCTTTGATGGGTGTGAGTTTATCCTGGAATAACAGTTATACTGACTCGACGCTCTCGAGGTGCTCAGCTGCGAGTGATGATTCCTTGAGAGTTTGTTCTGTTCATAGATTAGTATTCAAGGCCGTCGAGACGCTAAAAGAAAAATTATTTCATTATCTCCTCTTTTGACAAAGAGGTTCAGAAGCAGTTATGCGTGTAAGTTTATGTTAAAAACCATTAACACCACAAAGGATTCTTTTATCAATAGGATGATGGCACGAGACATCTTAAGTACTAGAATGTGACTTCAATTTTAGATGTTGTAAACACTGCTTTGGTGCATACTTGCTTAATGCACTGACTATCATGTAAGACCAATCAATGAATCTTGCAAAGTCTATTGTAACCTAAAAAACATTGTGTGATATTTGGTTGCCAACCAATATTCGAGAGAAAAAAATAATTGCTGCACTTATCTTCACTGCCAGCCAACCTGAATGAAAAGGATTGTTTTCCCAGCCTGCAACTTTAAATAGAATCAAAATCCTAGGCAGGAGTTTTTAAACAGTAATTTTTTTTTTACTTAGCAACTTTCGAATTGCTTTCAATCAGCAGCCAGCATGACATTATAACGCTTGAAATTTCAGAAAAGTATTACCTTTCTCTTGTAATTGGGTAAACTTATTATGAAGGTCTACGCTATGTTAATAAGTTTCTTACCTGTTAACTGAATAGGCCTATGGCCACAAAAAATGTTCTTACGTGTTGAGGAAATGCATGGAAAGATTTAAAATAGTGATATAATCTTAAAATGCGTATACCTATGGAGTATAAATTTATTTCACGTGAAAAAACTACAGTTCGTGTATTAGAAATCCATCATCAATCCCATGTTCGAGCCCCTTTTAAAATATGAGCATGGCAGCCCCTGAAGCATCGTTTCTTGACTTCAGCTGGTGCGCTGGTCCTCTGTCGATAACGAGAAGTCAAAGGTACGTTGTTGACATTAAAAATAAAATTTTTAAGAAATTGTTTTACACACAAATACATTGAAAATGAGCGGGGATCGATGCCAAGGTCAGGCGAACTGATCTCAAACAAGCCCGTCAGCTCCTGGTGATCTTAAAGAACCTTGAGGCAACTTTGAGAATTATCGTGAGCGAAACTGAGATTACCCTGAGCAAAACTGAGCCTTCGTTAATAAGCAAATCTGTGCATTTCTAAGAATTCTATTTATGCCAACTGCACTTGCAACGAAGTGAAAATGGGGAATAGTTTACACCAATACAGGCAAGTCGTTGGCAAGCATCTTGTTAGGAAAAGGATTCCTGGTAAAAAAAGATATCCAATATAAACCCTGTTGTGAGAAGTCGCAGTCGGTTAATGAGTAAACAGATCAGAGGAAGGACGAGGTTACTTTATCACCAAGTACTGGGTCAGTACGTAAGCTCTTCATTACTTTTATCGTAATGGTAGGCAAGGAGGGGGTGGGGTGGGGAGGGGAGGAGGCCTTTTGTGCTCGATCAAGAAATTTACGGACTTCATTTTGTGTTCTCTTTCATGGACAATTTGTGAGGAGCCATTTTTGCCAAAAATATCAATCGCTACAGAAAAAAACTCAATCGTTACTGCTAAGTTATTAATCGCTAGTGATAAAACTCGATCGTTAGTGCTAAAATATCAATTGAGTTTAATCACTAGCGATTGATACTTAAGCCTTAGCGAATGTGTTGCAGTCGAGCTGAATCGACAAGACAATCAAACTTATAATCCCGAAAAGAAAATAACTGACAAACTGAAATAAAACGAAATAACAAACTGAGAACTGAAACACAGAAAGAAACATTTTCAAAAAAGTTTAATAATCATAGTAACATTTAGGTAGTGCCCACTAGATAATGACGTTTGTCAATTTCAGTAATCGACACGATAGTTTTTTGCGATGGAACTGTTGTAAGAGAATCAGGCCTTCTTAGAAACGGACTGAAGACTTTCCCCTATGATAGACTGATACAGTTAAGCAGCACCATATGGTGGGTTTTGGCCCACGAAACATTTCACTAAAGAAAACCCTTTCAAGAATATAATTGATTAACTACTCTGATGACAGAAGTGATTTTAAGTCAGCTTACATGGATAAAAATTGATATCATAAACCAACACCCGGTATTGTAATGCATAATAACATAGAATGATAGCTTAATAGCGAGGATATTTGTAAATGCGATGTTAAACTTGTAATTATCAGTCGTTTCACGGTAGCCTGGGCAAGTACGCCTCAGAAAACCCCTTGCGCGACCCTCTTAACAAATCCTACCAACGCTGTAGTTTAATAGCACTCGAAATATACAACAACCGAGGAGTGTTCGTAAGTAAGCACTCTAGTATAAATGTTTTCGGTTAAGGTTGGTAAATTGTTAGGCTCTTGTTTTACAATCAAAGAGCCATCTCTTAGGAGCCTGCCAGCACCAATCTAAGAAACGTATGGGTCGACAATCTCGTATTTTTTTCCACCATCCTGCGCACTGAATCTTGTACTTAATCTCGCCTAGGACATCCAGCCAGAAGTCGAACCAGATTAGTCGCAAGAAGAGGATGAGAAGTAAATGTATTGGAGAGAATGTCCCGGACATCTGGTGCCGCAAGTGCCGTAACGCCTTCTCTTGGTATTCTGGCTGATTTAGTCGAAGACAGCTGCCATCGTAGGGAGCAAAAATCGCCGTCATAACTCCACGGGGATTTGTTTTGAGCATCTTCCAATAATCAGGAAATATTCCGCATAACCTAGCGATGTCATCTCCGTAAGTGAAGGCTTCTACCAAGGTAGAAAGTCTACGGGAGGAATCTTTGAAGTAGTCGTCCCAAAATAACTTGTCTTTCACAGCTATTCTCTGCCTTTCATCTCGGGAAGGAAGCTCACACATCCTGAGAAAACTTTCGCGGTAAAATAGATTGAACCTCGGCGATCGTGATTAATGATCCGATCACCGGCCGAACATATCCGATGAAAGCCAATGTCGGGTCCTCGACGTTAAACAGATACTTGTAGTTGTGGGTAAGAGGAACCGTTTTTATTTCCGCGGGAAGCATTGGAAATTCTGCCTTGAAACCGGTGCACTGAATGATGATATCAACCTCCTCTTCTGTGCCATCACAGAAATGTACTTTGGTACCTTTCACGCTCTCAATTGCGCCTTTTGGAACACAGTGGTGATAATCAACCCTATCAAGCACGTGACAATTTTTGTTGATAAAAGAATGGAAAAATTTGGCGTCGTTTTTCCACTCGGATATACCATGACCTTGATAGGCGAGTAGTGAACCGTTCGTCGTCCACTTACATACCCATGCTAGCCCTGCAAGGGAAAGGAGGACCAACATTATTGTGAGGCAAAAATATGACAAATGGTAATATTTAAAATTAGGGAATAAGTTAGCACCCAGTGCGACCAACCAACACTTTGTATCTTGAAGTCAACTATGTCCGTTCCCAAATCGATCCGAAATTTACTCCATCGTGAGTAGAGACAAATACCAGTCGTAATTAAGTTATAGACAGGTCAGTTGTTTACATAACTGTTGACCATCATCCCCTGGATCTATTTTACTTTGAATTTTGTATAAACCCTCTTTGTGTTTAAAAGAACAACAGCCGTTTAAAAACGGACTATATCCATATTAATATACCAAGTCTATAGTGGATGGTGGCTTCTTCTCTTTTTCGTTTGTTTTCTCGGAAGTGGTCCTTAAAAATACTCAATGATTTGTCAAGAAGTAATTATTTCTTTACTGATACACAAAGTTACCCTGGAAGCACTGCCTAGACTCTCTCAAAAACACCCTGAATTTTAGCTTAATGTGTCTATACCTGAAAAAACGGGTCCCCAATTTTTTTTTTTTATTGCTAAATTGCAATTGTTATTTTTAGAGGCTATGGTATTATCATGTAATGTTCTTGTGTCAGAAAAGTTATCAAACTCATGCGAAGGATTGGCCGGTTCAAAAATAGCGAACTGAAAACGTTTAGAGCCACATCAATAAACATTGCTGATCAGCGCTGTCTTATCAGAATTCGAATTTTGCTTAATCATCAGTTTTTGGCACCCAAGTCTCCTCTAGTCTAATTTGTGCCGAGGAACAATTATCTATAAACTCAAGAAAGAAAACCTAAACTCAACAAGATGGCATGTGAGTTACTGTGAATACCTGGTTTTCCCTTTGTGAAAGGAGCAACGAATTTCATCGTACGAGATGAAGCCTTGTCCAGGACTTGGGGCTGTCGGTTCGGCAGAATCTTCGCAAACTTAGGGAAGAAATGCATCCCTCGAGGTATACTCCATACAAGGCGATATACATTGTCACACCATTCTTCAACCACGTCACTGGCAGTCTCGCCTCCACCAATCAGCATCACTCATTTGCCTTTATGCTCACGGACAAATGATTTGAGCTCAGAGCTGTGGTAAATTTTGCCAGCGAAATCTTTAAGGAAAGTCTGCTCCAGAACTCAATTAGGCTTTTGAACACAGCCTGTGCAAATTATCAAGAATTTGCTGCTGAACAGGCTCCCGTTCTCGCACTCAGTTCGCCATAGATTGTCTCTCTTCTCTTCTAACTTCACCCTGTGGTTCAGTCGAATGTGAGGCCACAACTTAAACTTGTCGCAGTAGGATAACAAGTAGGTGAAGATGTCGGCGTGCTTGGGAAAGTATCCAATCTCCTCCGGCATTGGAAAATCCGAAATTTCTGACGCGGATGACGACGAAGTCGTTTTCGTTGTCCGCATGACTGTGACAATGTTAGGGTCCTCTGAGAAACACCACAGCAACAGTCAGTCCAAATTCTAGCATGTACTTACACGCCATTAACCCTGACCAACCAGCCCCAATGACGGTCACACCGTGAAAAATTGACTCAGATTCAGACATGATAATGATTTTGCTCTGCAAAAAAAAGAGACAATTTTTAAGCGATTACTTTGGTTTGAATGTTCAAACATCGGTTCGATTAAGTAATTAGATGTTAGAATTAAGTTTACGATTTCTCTGAGACACAAGTTGATTACGTCTGTATTCCGTGTACACTTTTTAAAACTATTTTGCAGTATGGAGTACTAACCGGAATAGCTATTAGGAAATTTTTAATCAGTTTATAAAGGTGACAGTTACTGCACCGTCAATCCTTGTCCATCATCATCAGATCACATAAAGAGAACAGTTCTCTTGCATTTTTTCGTTTAGTCTAATTGGAATATAACTTTCCACAGGGTCTAATTACCGAATATCTGTTTTTCTTGTCTAATTCGCGATAGGAGAAAGTATTTCCCAATCAAAATTAATAAAGTAAAGTATTAATAAGTTAATAGTCATTAATAAAGTTAATAAAGTATGTATTAATAAAATTAATGATAAAAGTAAGTATTTTTCAAAGTTAAATGGACTATTTTCAGACAGTAAAAGAAAATACAATTAGTCTAGATGTAAAATGAGGCCATAAAGGAAATTAGTGATGACTAACTGAAACAGCTTTTACGTGAGATTTTTGTTAAGTGGCTTACGATAATGTATTATTTTATTATTATTAAATTATTCATTTTTCCAAACACAAAGATAACGAAGTACTGAAAGTGCTCCTGAGTATGATATACTTTTACCTTCGACAACTTTGATGTTTAACGTATGCCTCAGAGGGTTTTTATCTAGAAATTTTGGAGAAATTTAGCTACAACTAGTGACATTTTGCTCCCACCATATTTTGAAAGGCAGTCCAGCGGAAACTCGTGGGAGCATGCTCAGATGTATCCAAAATGGTGGGTTGTAGTGTCAAGCGTTCACGGTACGTAACGATTATGCCCAATTAAATAGACTTTCTTCATCCGATATTGAATATAGACATTGCTTTGTTTTTCTACTTTCCATACGCAGCATTCAGCATACTTACTTGTCATGTTTGGAACGAATAATGTTACAAATATCTTTTTACTTCCCAACATAATTACATAAAAGTTATAAATTATTTTGCCGCCTCTTCCCTACCCATCGTGGGTCTATTTTGCTTTTTTTTTTAATTTGTTTTTTCGTATGGTTTTGTTTTGTTTTGTTTGTTTGTCTGTTTGTTTGTTTTTGCACCGATTGCAGGCCTGGTTGCTTTTTTCAAAATGGCGAACACATTTCCTTGGAACACCCACTGACTTTCGACATGCTTTTTTGCATACTTGCTTAATGTACTGACTATCATTTAAGACCGATCATGATCATGATCAGGCAACGCGAATGAAAAAGATTATTTCCCAGCCAGCAACTTTAATAGAATTAAAATCCCATGCAGGAAAAGTAAAGAGTCATGTTTTTTTTATGAGCAACTAACGATTTTCTTGCAATTACCAGCCAGCAGGACATTATAAAGGTTTAAGTCTATGAATGACTCTGTCGTAACTCGATCGTAGACGTTAATATTTAGTTGAGCGAATGTATTCAAGTCTGTGTGATCGCATTCGATCAGTCTTCGATGAAATTGAATTCTCAGATCATACAATTTGTGCTAATAAAAATATTGATTACCTCGTGTATCTGGCGTAAAATTGTTATGGTAACTGACAAATTGTGAGACCAACGAGAGCTACAGAAAACATCACAACGTTGTAAAGTATTTAGTTTACTTGATTTGATTTAAGCATTCGTTTATACTTAGTATTAAAACAGGATTTGAATTTGTTTAAGTGCAACGTGTCGCTTGCACGCCCAAATTGCGATGGAACTTAGGAATCGCTGAAGCTGAAGTAGGTTGGCTCTGAGTGCAGGTGTGCTTTGATGTTTTATTCATGGTTGTTGTATTTAGTTGTAGTCAATGTCGCCGCTGAATTTTAGCGATTAAGGTGTTGTGGACTTATCTGTTGTAGACTAATATGGTCAATGTACGAGTGAGCCGTTAGTTAGATATAGTCGGTGTTGTGTGCGTTATTCCGGGTGTGAATTGGTTTGGTTAAGGTGTGAGTTTATCCTGAAATCACAGTCGACGCTCTCGAGGTGCTTAGCTGCGAGTAATGATTCCTTGAGAGTTTGTCCTGTTTACAGAAAAGTATCTAAGGCCACCTAGACGCTGAAAGATAAATGATCTCATTGTTTCCTTTATCGACAAAGGGGGTTATGCGCAATTATGCGTGTATGTTACAAACCATTGACACTACAAAGGATTCGTTTATTAATAGGATAATGGCACGAAACATCTTTCAATTCAGACTTTATAGCTCTTGCAAAAGGAAAAAATAGACCTAGTACAGCTATAGAACTGGAATGTGACTTTATTTGTAGATGCTCAATTTTCCACTTTCTCGCACTCCTTAAAAATTATGATAGGTGGAGGCTAAACACAAACTAGAATTTCTTTGTGTGCCATTTGGCACACATAGAATTAATAATGAATTTTTTTGGCAAGATTCTTCGCTTTCGTTTCACTTTTCAGTTCAGTTCCTTCGCCTTATATCAGTAACATATTAGTCTACTGCGACTATGGAAGCGCAATATTTGAAACTTTTCGTTATGTTATTACTCCCGGCTACTCATGAGTTCTTTGCACAGAATTGTGTTTCGTTTCCGCGACTACATTACGAGGGAACACACACTGACTTTCGAAATCACATTTACTCAACATCCTTATTTGAAGTATTCAAAATTTCCGTGTTGATACAACTCAGTGAAAAACCTAACAGTTCTAGCCTTTGCCACTTTGTCTTCAATCAAGGAATATCTAAGTATATTCTACGTATGTTCTTGCTCATATTTATTAGGCAGCTTTTTGGCCCCTTCAAACATTTCCAAAAGTTTACCAGGCGTACTATCATCTACTTTTACTCTATGCTCAATAGCCTAACACTTTCGATACACTCTTCGAAGACTTGGACTTTACCTGGATTTTTATTATACCAGCATAGCTTAGCTACAGAGTCTACATATACACCATGTTTGTCCTTTTCAATTAAGATGGTAGTAATATTTCTCACGCATGTTAATTTGTCCTCATAACTCTCGGGCATCTCTCCTCTATCTGTGAGGCTTTTATGGATATCTAGCATTACACAATTAACACCAGTTAACAGTGCTATTTTGGCGCAAACAAACTCCTGAGCGTTTATGTCATAATGTGGCCCATTAAACGGCTTTTCCACTGGCATACAGTCAATTTTGCTCTTAATTTCATAAGGGATATCGCAGGACTGAAGGAAATCGTCGTTCGGGAGACCATGTTCGTTAATGATTCCTCTACTTTCTAGCTCTCCATAATTAAATTCCTTCGTGAAATGTTCTTCTTCGCCCCCTAAGACATCGAAAAAATTCTTAATTATGTCTTTGTAAAGCTTAGTGACTCCTTTGTTGATAACATGATGGCCTCTCCTAGGTATTACAAATGCGTTGTCTTTCCTCTTTAAAACATATTTTATATCATTTAGGGCGGGTTCTATAATTTTAGGATAATAGCGGTGTAAACTTTGGAGTGCTTGCATCAGATCCTCTTCGTACGACATTTGTGTGGCTCCTCTCTCGTCAGTCATCGTGTTATTTTGGCCTTCTCTTACTCTCTCCTCTCATCTAGGGCCACTTCTTTTTACCTAAGAACGGGATAGTGGTTATTTTGGTCCTTGTTTGGATCACAGAAAGTACAGCGGTTTCCAAGGGGCGAGTTTCTTTTCTTATCCGTACTTGCCCTATATTATGGCGTTTCTTGTGATTTTAGAAGAGACTGTTAGTGCATACGATAGGTGAAAAGTCGCACCGATGAGGAAAGATGCATTTTAGTGGATAGACAGGAAAGCTTGAAAAGGAATGTGGCTTAAAATATAACCTTTAAACGCGCTCGAGACTTTTTCACACCCGCAAAAAAGGAGAGGAAACGCGATTGCAAACGGCTTTACAAAAACATCACCTCTAGCTGCGAAAAATTGGACCAAAGTACATATTGAAGCACTCAACTTTCATCCTCGACGCCGGGTATTTTAATTTCACTTAAGAGTTGAAGTAATGTTGAGTAGTTTAGTGCTAATTGATTGAGCTAATATAGTCTGTAGTTTTAGGTAGTTAACTGTATTATTTAATTCTGGAAAAGTTTGATGTAGTCATGTACTGTTGGTTTAAGTGATATACTTTCTCAGTGGAGTTAAGCGTAGCTGGTGATTCGAGTGTAATTTGTACACCTTGGTGTGGCTAAATATCATTCTTTTATCAATAGGATGATCGCACGAAACATCTTGCAATTCAGAATTGATAGCTCTTGAAACAGAAAATAATAGACCTAGTACAGTTAAAGAACTGGAATGGGGCTTGTATTATAGATGCTAGAATTTCTTTGTAAAAAAGGTATTGCAGCTATTTAGCACATATAGAATTAATATTGAATTTTTAGCAGGAGTTTTCGCTTTCGTGTCACTTTTCAGTTTAGTTCCTTCGCCTTGTTATATCAATAACAGATAAGTGTACTGTGACTATCGAAGCGCAATATCTGAAATTTTTCGTCATGTTATAATTAACACTCATGAGTTTTTTGTGCAGAATTGTGTTTCGTTTCGACGACTACATTACAATGGAACACACACTGACTTTCGAAATCACATTTACTGAGACCTAGGTCCGACAAAATGTAACTCAAATGTAGTGTTTTCACTCTCACGTATGGTAGTCTCTTTGTGTCGCTGAGCGTTACAAATATGCTTATCTTTGATACAACACAAACTAGAATTTCTTTCTAAAAAGTATTGCAGCCATTTAGCACACACAGAATGAATTTTTTAGCTACAGTCTTCGCTTTCGTTTTACTTTTCAGTTCAGTTCCTTCTCCTTGTTATATCAATAACAGATGTGTGCTGGGACTATCGAAGCGCAATATCTAAAACTTTTCATTGTGTTATTACTCCCACTCATGAGTTCTTTGTGCAGAATTGTGTTTCATTTCCACCCCTACATTACGATGGAGCACACACTGACTTTTGAAATCACATTTCCTAGAAGGACTGTGATATTTTATCGCATGTTATAAACACTGCTTTTTTGCATACATGCTAAATGTATTGACAATCATTTTAGACAGATCATGATCGATGCAAAATCTATTGCATCTAAAGAAACGTTGTATGATATTTGGTTGACAATTAATCTTTATGGGAAAAAAATTTGCTGTGCTCATCTCCACTGCCAGCCAACCTGAATGAAAAGGATTATTTTCCCAGCCAGCAACTTTAAATAGGATTAAAATCCCACGCAGGACATTTTAACAGCCATTTTTTAATTAACAAATTTCGAATTGCTTTCAATTACCACCTAGCAAGACAGTATGACGGTTTAAGTCTCAGAAAAGTATTACCTTTCTCTTGTAATTAGCCACAATAATTGGGTAAACTTATTATGAAGGTCTACTCTTTGTTAATCAGTTCCTTAACTGTTACCTGTACAGGATTTGGTTCATAAATGACTCTGTCGTAACTCGTAGACGTTCAAATCTACTTGAGCAGATGTATTCAAGTCTGTGTGATCGCATTCAATCAGTCTTCGATGAAATCGAATTCTCGGGAGCTTAGGATCATGCAATTTGCACTGATAATAAAATTTGATTATCTCGTGTATTTGGCATAAAATTGTTTTGGCAACTGACAAATTGTGAGACCAGTGAGAGCTATAGAGAACATCACAACGTTGTAAAGTATTTAGTTTACTTGGTTTGATGTAAGCCTTCGTCTATATTTAGTATCAAGACAAGATTTTAATTTGTTTCGCTTACACGCCTAAATTGTGATGTAACTGCAGCAAGTTCATAAATGACTCTGTCGTAACTCGTAGACGTTAACATTTATTAGAGCAAGTGTATTCAAGTCTGTGTGTTCGCTTTCAATCAGTCTGATAACAATCAGAATTCTCAGAATTGTGGGATCGTGTTATTTTACACTGACAATAAAATTTGATTATCTAGTGGATTTCGCACAAAATTGTTTTGGTAACTGACAGATAGTGAGACTAATGAGAGCTACAGAAATCATCACAACGTTTTAAAGTGTTTAGTTTACCTGGTTTGATTTAAGCATTCGTTTAAATTTAGTATTAAGACGAGATTCTAACTTGTTTAAGCGCAATTTTTCGCTTGCACGCCCAAATTACGATGGAACTTAGGACTTGCTATCGCTGAAGCAGGTTGGCTCTGAGTGCGGTGTACTTTGATGTTTTATTCTTAATGTCGTCGCTGTATTCTGGCGATTAGGGTGTGGTTGATTATTCGTTGCAGACTAAGATGGTCAATGTACGTGCAGGCCGTTATTTGGATGTAGTCGGCGTAGTTTGTGTGGTTCCGGGTGTGAATTTGTTTGGTTGGTGTAGTGTTGAAGAGTTTAATGCAAGCTGATTATCTTGAAGCAGTTCTGCAGTTTGAAGTAGCTAGCCATAATTACCTAGGTCTGAAAAACTTTAGATCAAATGCATTGTTTTCACTCCTACTTGTATAATGCTAAGCGGTGCAAATATGCTCACCTTTTATGGGTGTGAGTTTATCCTGGAATCACAGTTACACTAATTCGACGCTCTCAAGGCGCTCAGCTGCGAGTGATGATTCCTCGAAACTTTGTTCTATTTACAGAAAAGTATTCAAGGCCGTGTAGTCACTGAAAGATAAATGATCTCATTGTTTCCTTTATCAACCAAGGGGTTCATGTGCAGTTAGGCGTGTATGTTACAAACCATTGCCACCACAAAGGATTCATTTATCAATAGGATGATGGCACGAAACATCTTCAAATTCAGACTTTATAGCTCTTGCAAACGGAAAAAAATAAACCTAGTATAGTTGAATTCTCCGGATCTTGGGATCATGCAGTTTGCACTAATAATGAAATTTGATTATCTCGTGAATTTGGCATAAAATTTTTTTGGTAACTGACAATTTGTGAAACCAATGAGAGCTATAGAGAACACCACAACGTTGTAAAGTATTTAGTTTACTTGGTTTGATGTAAGCATTCGTTTATATTTAGTATTAGGACAAGATTCTAATTTGTTAAAGTGCAATTTTTCGCTTGCACGCCCAAATTGCGATGGAACGTAGGATGGCTCTGAGTGCCGGTGTACTGGATGTTTTATTCGTGGTTGCTGTAACTAGTTATAGTCAATGTCGTCGCTGAATTTAAACAGTTAACGTGCAGGCCGTTAGTTCGATATAGTCGGTGTAGTTTGTGTAATTATGGGTGTTAATTGGTTTGGTTGGTGTGGTTTGAAGTAGTTAGCCATAATTACCTAGGTCTAAAACCCTACCTCAAATGCACTGTTTTCACCGTCACGTATGATAGTCTCTTTGTAATGCTGAGCGATGCAAATATGCTTACCTTTGATGGGTGTGAGTTTATCCTGGAATAACAGTTATACTGACTCGACACTCTCGAGGTGCGCAGCTGCGAGTGATGATTCCTTGAGAGTTTTTTCCGTTCATAGATTAGTATTCAAGGCCGTCGAGACGCAAAAAGACAAATTATTTCATTATCTCCTCTTTTGACAAAGAGGTTCAGAAGCAGTTATGCGTGTAAGTTTATGTTAAAAACCATTAATACCACAAAGGATTCTTTTATCAATAGGATGATGGCACGAGACATCTTAAGTACTAGAATGTGACTTCAATTTTTAGATGTTGTAAACACTGCTTTGTTGCATACTTGCTTAATGCACTGACTATCATGTAAGACCAATCAAGGAATCTTGCAAAGTCTATTGTAACCTAAAAAACATTGTGTGATATTTGGTTGCAAACCAATATTCGAGAGAAAAAAATAATTGCTGCGCTTATCTTCACTGCCAGCCAACCTGAATGAAAAGGATTGTTTTCCCATCCTGCAACTTTAAATAGAATCAAAATCCTAGGCAGGAGTTTTTAAACAGTAATTTTTTTTTACTTAGCAACTTTCGAATTGTTTTCAATTAGCAGCCAGCATGACATTATGACGCTTGAAGACTCAGAAAAAAATTACCTTTCTCTTGTAATTGGGTAAACTTATTATGAAGGTCGACGCTATGTTAATAAGTTTTTTAACTGTTAACTGAATAGGATTTGGTTCATAAATGACTCTGTCGTAACTGGTAGAAATTAAAATTTACTTGAACAAATGTATTCAAGTCTGAGCGATCGCATTCAATCAGTCTTCGATGAAATCGAATTCTCAGAATCATGAGATCATGTAACTTTCGCTGATAATAAAATTTGATTATCTCGTGTATTTGGCATAAAATTGTTTTGGTAACTGACAAATTGTGAGACCAATGAGAGCTACAGAGAACATCAAAACGGAGGTTTGTGAAGTATTTAGTCTATCGGTTTGATTTAAGTATTCGTTGAAATTAGTATCAAGATAAGATTTGAATATGTTTAAGCGCCATGTTTCGCTTGCACGCCCAAATTGCGATGGAACGTTGGAATTGCTGTAACTGAAGCAGGTTGGCTCTGAGTGCCGGTGTACTTTGATGTTTTATTAATGGTTGTTGTATTTCATCTAGTCAATGTAGTCGCTGAATTTTAGCGATTGAGGTGTGGTTGACTTATTTATTGTACACTAAGATGGTCAATGTACGTGCAGGCCGTTACTTCGCTCTTATTTAAAAGATTGATTTTCTTCAGAAATTTTTTATTTCTAATTTTCGTTTTTTTGCGCGACTGACCATTCCAATTTCACGTGCGGAAAGGAGATAGGAAACGAAGCATTTAAAAGGGTGGCCTTTAATTTTTTGAAAAAATGGATAGTCAGAATATGAAAAAACTGAGACAAGTCGATTGTTTCATTGAACCGAACAGGCGTTGACTGTCAGTAATTTACTTGAAACGCGATAATATCTGGTAGGTGTAAAACCCAAATTTACAAGATCTTTAGACATTGCTATCATTTTATTTGAACTCGGTTGACTGGCTTGCCTAGCACCCATATCCCTTATTATCTCGATCAAATGCCGCAACCTAAACAACGCCAGCCTCGTACTGACGCTTCGTACAATTGAGCGAAACTGCCGTTTTAGTATTAACTGCCGGGGACCTCGGTGTTTGATCGGGGTCCCGACCTTCGTTTTTGTTCGAGCTAAAAAGTAATTATATTTTCATAGAAAGCTCTACTCTGACTAACTTCCGTAAAAACTTGTGAATTTTATCTATGAAATTGTTCAGGGAAAATAACAAATAATCTTCAGAGAAAACCAGGCGATAGTTAGTTGTAGCGGGACGTAGAGAAAAACTCCTCCCTGGATCTCGTAGGATGGGTAAAAAGGAAAGCGAACTATCTTGATAAACAATGGACCCCCATCAAACGGTTGAACCACCAGGTCATGCTGATGCTTGAAAAAGGCAAAATATAAAATAAATCGCATGAACATCTTTAGTATCGTTTGTCCCGATATGTAGAGTCACCGTCAATTGGAGCTGCCTTTACTTTCCGTCTCTCGAATCATATGGAGGTCATATCCTTCGGCATGTTCTCGAGTGGCCTCCGAGCGAGTTCTATTATTTATTAGTTGTCTCGTCTAATCACGAACCTTTCTTCGACTGCAGAAGCAAAACTGATTACCCATGCGCACTAAGCGCATGAATTCTAAAATGCCTTCCGTTTCTTCGAATTTTTGGTGGATAATGTTAGCATGGTGTCGATTGTCGACTTCGGTGGAGTGGGGGGTAGGGAATTATTTGAAATATTCTATGGCCACAAAAAATGTTCTTACGCGTTGAGGAAATGCATGGAAAGATTAAAATAGTGATATAATCTTAAAATGCGTATACCTATGGAGTATAAATTTATTTCACATGAAAAAACTACAGTTCGTGTATTAGAAATCTATCATCAATCCCATGTTCGAGCCCCTTTTAAAATATGAGCATGGCAGCCCCTGAAGCATCGTTTCTTGACTTCAGCTGGTGCGTTGGTCCTCTGTCGATAACGCGGAGTCAAAGGTACGTTGTTGACATTAAAAATAAAATTTTTAAGAAATTGTTTTACACACAAATACACTGAAAATGAGCGGGGATCGATGCCAAGGTCAGGCGAACTGATCTCAAACAAGCCCGTCAGCCCCTGGTGATCTTAGAGAACCTTGAGGCAACTTTGAGAATTATCGTGAGCGAAACTGAGATTACCCTGAGCAAAACTGAGCCTTCGTTAATAAGCAAATCTGTGCATTTCTAAGAATTCTATTTATGTCAACTGCACTTGCAACGAAGTGAAAATGGGGAATAGTTTACACCAATACAGGCAAGTAGTTGGCAAGCATCTTGTTAGGGAAAGGATTCCTGGTAAAAAAAGATATCCAATATAAATCCTGTTGTGAGAAGTCGCAGTCGGTTAACAGGCAAACAGATCAGAGGAAGGACAAGGTTACTTTATCACCAAGTACTGGGTCAGTGCGTAAGCTCTTCATTACTTTTATCGTAATGGTAGGCAAGGAGGGGGTGGGGTGGGGAGGGGAGGAGGCCTTTTGTGCTCGATCAAGAAATTTACGGACTTCATTTTGTGTTCTCTTTCATGGACAATTTGTGAGGAGCCATTTTTGCCAAAAATATCAATCGCTACAGAAAGAAACTCAATCGTTAGTGCTAAGTTATTAATCGCTAGTGATAAAACTCGATCGTTAGTGCTAAAATATCAATTGAGTTTTATCACTAGCGATTGATACTTAAGCCTTAGCGAATGTGTTGCAGTCGAGCTGAATCGACAAGACAATCAAACTTATAATCCCGAAGAGAAAAAAACTGACAAACTGAAATAAAACGAAATAACAAACTGAGAACTGAAACACAGAAAGAAACATTTTCAAAAAAGTTTAATAATCATAGTAACATTTAGGTAGTGCCCACTAGATAATGACGTTTGTCAATTTCAGTAATCGACACGATAGTTTTTTGCGATGGAACTGTTGTAAGACAATCAGGCCTTCTTAGAAACGGACTGAAGACTTTCCCCTATGATAGACTGATACAGTTAAGCAGCACCATATGGTGGGTTTTGGCCCACGAAACATTTCACTAAAGAAAACCCTTTCAAGAATATAATTGATTAACTACTCTGATGACAGAAGTGATTTTAAGTCAGCTTACATGGATAAAAATTGATATCATAAACCAACACCCGGTATTGTAATGCATAATAACATAGAATGATAGCTTAATAGCGAGGATATTTGTAAATGCGATGTTAAACTTGTAATTATCAGTCGTTTCACGGTAGCCTGGGCAAGTACGCCTCAGAAAACCCCTTGCGCGACCCTCTTAACAAATCCTACCTACGCTGCAGTTTAAAAGCACTCGAAATATACAACAACCGAGGAGTGTTCGTAAGTAAGCACTCTGGTATAAATGTTTTCGGTTAAGGTTGGTAAATTGTCAGGCTCTTGTTTTACAATCAAAGAGCCATCTCTTAGGAGCCTGCCAGCACCAATCTAAGAAACGTATGGGTCGACAATCTCGTATTTTTTTCCACCATCCTGCGCACTGAATCTTGTACTTAATCTCGCCGAGGACATCCAGCCAGAAGTCGAACCAGACTAGCCGCAAGAAGAGGATGAGAAGTAAATGTATTGGGGAGAATGTCCCGGACATCTGGTGCCGCAAGTGCCGTAACGCCTTCTCTTGGTATTCTGGCTGATTTAGTCGAAGACAGCTGCCATCGTAGGGAGCAAAAATCGCCGTCATAACTCCACGGGGATTTGTTTTGAGCATCTTCCAATAATCAGGAAATATTCCGCATAACCTAGCGATGTCATCTCCGTAAGTGAAGGCTTCCACCAAGGTAGAAAGTCTACGGGAGGAATCTTTGAAGTAGTCGTCCCAAAATAACTTGTCTTTCACAGCTATTCTCTGCCTTTCATCTCGGGAAGGAAGCTCACACATTCCTGAGAAAACTTTCGCGGTAAAAATAGATTGAACCTCGGCGATCGTGATTAATGATCCGATCACCGGCCGAACATATCCGATGAAAGCCAATGTCGGGTCCTCGACGTTAAACAGATACTTGTAGTTGTGGGTAAGAGGAACCGTTTTTATTTCCGCGGGGAGCATTGGAAATTCTGCCTTGAAACCGGTGCACTGAATGATGATATCAACCTCCTCTTCTGTGCCATCACAGAAATGTACTTTGGTACCTTTCACGCTCTCAATTGCGCCTTTTGGAACACAGTGGTGATAATCAACCCTATCAAGCACGTGACCATTTTTGTTGATAAAAGAATGGAAAAATTTGGCGTCGTTTTTCCACTCGGATATACCATGACCTTGATAGGCGAGTAGTGAACCGTTCGTCGTCCACTTACATACCCATGCTAGCCCTGCAAGGGAAAGGAGGACCAACATTATTGTGAGCCAAAAATATGGCAAATGGTAATATTTAAAATTAGGGAATAAGTTAGCACCCAGTGCGACCAACCAACACTTTGTATCTTGAAGTCAACTATGTCCGTTCCCAAATCGATCGGAAATTTACTCCGTCGTGAGTAGAGACAAATACCAGTCGTAATTAAGTAATAGACAGGTCAGTTGTTTACATAACTGTTGACCATCATCCCCTGGATCTATTTTACTTTGAATTTTGTATAAACCCTCTTTGTGTTTAAAAGAACAACAGCCGTTTAAAAACGGACTATATCCATATTAATATACCTAGTCTATAGTGGATGATGGCTTCTTCTCTTTTTCGTTTGTTTTCTCGGAAGTGGTCCTTAAAAATACTCAATGATTTGTCAAGAAGTAATTATTTCTTTACTGATAAACAAAGTTACCCTGGAAGCACTGCCTAGACTCTCTCAAAAACACCCTGAATTTTAGCTTAATGTGTCTATACCTAAAAAAACGAGTTCCCATGTTTTGCTTTTTTTTTTATTGCTATCTTGCAATTGTTATTTTTAGAGGCTATGGTATTATTATGTAATGTTCTTGTGTCAGAAAAGTTATCAAAACTCAAGCGAAGGATTGGCCGGTTCAAAAATTACGAACACGTTTAGAGCCACATTAATTAACACTGCTGATCAGCGCTGTCTTATCAGAATTCGAATTTTGCTTAATCATCAGTTTTTGGCACCCATGTCTCCTCCAGTCTGATTTGTGCCGAGGAACAATTATCTGTAAACTCAAGAAAGAAAACTTAAACTCAGTAACATGACATAATAGTTACTGGGATTACCTGGTTTTCCCTTTGTGAAAGGAGCGATGAATTTCATTGCACGAGATGAAGCCTTGTCCAGGACTTGAGGCTGTCGGTTCGGCAGAATCTTCGCAAACTTACGGAAGAAATGCATCCCTCGAGGTATACTCCATATAAGGCGATCAACATTGTCACACCATTCTTCAACCACGTCACTGGCAGTCTCGCCTCCACCAATCAGCATCACTCGTTTGCCTTTATGCTCAGGGACAAATGACTTGAGCTCAGAGCTGTGGTAAATTTTGCCAGCGAAATCTTTAAGGAGAGTCTGCTCCAGAACTCGATTAGGCTTCTGTACACATCCTGTGCAAAGTATCAAGAATTTGCTAGTGAACAGGCTTCCGTTCTCGCACTCAATTCGCCATATATTTTCTCTCTTCTCTACTGACTTCACCCCGTGGTTCAGTCGAATGTGAGGCCACAACTTAAACTTGTCGCAGTAGGATTTCAAGTAGGTGAAGATGTCGGCGTGCTTAGGAAAGTATCCAATCTCCTCCGGCATTGGAAAATCCGACATTTCTGTCACGGATGACGACGAAGTCGTTTTCGTTGTCCGCATGACTGTGACAATGTTAGGGTCCTCTGAGTAACACCACAGCCCACCAACCTCTGAACGTTTCTCTAAGGTGGTAACAGTCAGTCCAAACTCTAGCATGTACTTACACGCCATTAAACCAGACCAACCAGCCCCAATGACGGTCACATCGTGAAAAATTGACTCAGGTTCAGACATGATGATGATTTTGCACTGCAAAGAAAAGAGACAATTTTTAAGCGATTACCTTGGTTTGAATGTACAAACGTCGGTTTTATTAAGCAATTAGATGCTAGAAGTAAGTTTAGGATTTCTCTAACACTCAAGTTGATTATGTCTGTATTCCGTGTACACTTTCAAAAACTACCCTGCGGTATGGAATACTAACCGGAATACATATTAGGAAACTTTGTTCGTCAGTTTATAAAGGAGACAGTTACTGCGCCGTCGATTCTTGTCCATCGTCATCAGATCACATAAAGAGAACGGTTGTCTTGCGTTATTTCGTTTGTCTAATTGGAATATAACTTTCCACAAGGTCTGATTACCGAATATCTGTTTTTCTTGTCTAATTCGCGATTGGAGAAAGTATTTCTCAATCAAAATTAATAAAGTAATTAATAAAGTTAATAAAGTAAGTATTTTTCAAAGTTAAATGGACTATTTTCAAACAGTAAAAGAAAATAACAATTAGTCTAGATGTAAAGTGAGGTCATAAAGGAAATTGGTGATGACCAACTGAAAGAGCTTTTACGTGACATTTTTGCTGCGTGGGTTACGATAATGTATTATTTTATTCATTTCCAAACACAAAGATACCGAAGTACTTAAAATGCTCCTGAGTATATACTTTTACCTTCGACAACTTTGATGTTTAACATTTGTCTCAGAGGGTTTCATCCAGAAATATCGGAGAAATTTAGCTACAACTAATGACATTTTGCTCCCGCGATATTTTAAGAGGCAGTCCAGCGGAGACTCGTAGCAGCATGCTCAGAGGTATCCAAAATTGCGGGCTGTAGTGTCAAGCGTTCACAGCACGTAAGGATTATGCCTAATTACATAGATTTTCTTCAGCCGCTCTTGAATATAGACATTGCTTTGTTTGTCTATTCTCCATATGCAGCATTCAGTATACTTACTTGTCATGTTTGGAACGAATTGTCGTTACAAATACGTTTTTACCTCCCAACAAACTACATAAATCCCGTATCTTTTTATTTTTAGAAGTGATATATTTGGGGGTTCTTTAATTTCCCGCGAAAACACGCTGACGTTCGCGCAACACCCTAAAAAATGAATGGTAAATTTTCCGCGCTTTTCGCCATTATTGAAATACTTTCGTGCAGCCTGCATGTGACATAAACAATAGAGGACTACAGCTCTCTTATGATTGGCTATTATGTAAACACCCGCGAAAAATCCCGTGGGAGGTGCTTCTAAAAATAAAAAGAAGCGGGAGAGGGTTGACTCAAAGGGTAAGTATGGAAGATGGGAGCTTCGGGTAATGGGCTCCTGATAAAAGTTGTAAATTATTTTACCGCCTCTTCTCTATCCATCTTGGTCCATTTTTTTTTTTGGTTTTTTTGTTTTTTGTTTTGTTTTGTCTTCTTTGTAGACAATGTTGCAGCTATTTAACGCGTGTAGAATTAATGTCAAATTTTTAGCTACAGTCTTTGCTTTCATTTCACTTTTCAGTTCAGTTCCTTCGCCTTGTTATATCAATAACAGATAAGTGGAAAGTGACGATCGTATCGCAATATCTGAAATTTTTCGTCGTGTTACTACAGTCACTCATGAGTTCTTTGTGCAGAGTCGGTGTTTCGTTTCCACGACTACATTACATTTACATTTACTTGAAGTACTGAGGTATTTTATCGCATGTTATAAACACTGCTTTGTTGCATACTTGCTTAATGTACTGACTATCATTTAGGACCGATCCTAATCGATTATTAATGATTCTTGCAAAGTATATTTTATCAAAAGAAATATCGTGTGATATTTGGTTAACAATTAATCTTCGTGGGAACAAAAAGAACGCTGAGCTTTTCTTTACTGCCAGCCAACCTGAACGAAAAGGATTATTTTCCCAGCCAGCAACTTTAAATAGAATCAAAATCCCACGCAGGAAAATGAAAGAGTCATTTTTTTATCTCTTTTTAGCAAATTTTGAATTGATATCAATTACCAGCCAGCAAGACATTATAATGGTTTAACTCTCAGGAAAGTATTACCTTTCTCCTGTAATTAGCCACACAAATTGGGTAAACTTATTATGAAGGTCTACGCTATGTTAATTAGTTTCTTAACTGTTAACTGAATAGGATTTGGTTCATAAATGATTCTTTCGTAACTGGTAAACGTTAGCATTTACTTGAGCAAATGTATTCAAGTCTGTGCGATTGCATTCTATCAGTCTTCGATGAAATTGAATTCTCAGGATAATGGGATCATGTAACTTGCGCTGATAATAATATTTGATTATCTCGTGGATTTGGCATAAAATTGTTTCGGTAACTGACAAATTGTGAGACCCATCAGAGCTACAGACAACATCACAACGTTGTTAAGTATTTAGTTTACTTGGTTTGATGTAAGCATTCGTTTATATTTAGTATTAATACAAGATTTGAATTTGTTTAAGTGCAAGGTTTCGCTTGCACGCCCAAATTGCGATGGAATTGGAATTGTTGTAGCTGAAGGATATGTACTTTGCTGTTTTATTCATGGTTTTTGTAGCTAGGTTTTGTTGTATGTAGTTGTAAACAATGTTGTCTCTAAATTTAAACACTTATGGTGTGGTTGACTTATTTATTGTAGACTAATATAATCAGTGTACGAGTAGGTCGTTGGTTCGATATAGTCGGTGTAGTGTGTGTGATTACGGGTGTAAATTGGTTTGGTTAAGGTGTAGTGTTGAGTAGTTTTGAGCAAATTGATTAACCTGGAGCAGTTTTGTAGTTTGAATTAGCTAGCTATAATAACCTAGGTCTGGAAAAACTCTAGCTTAAATACACTGTTTTCACTCTCACGTATGATAGTCTCTTTGAATCACTGTGCGACGCAAATATGCTTACCTTTGATGGGTGTGATTTTATCTTTGAATCACAGTTAGACTGAATCGACCCTCTCAGCCGCGAGTGATGATTCCTTGAGAGTTTGTTCTGTTCACAGAAAAGTAGTCAAGGCCGTTTAGACGCTGAAAGATAAATGATTTCATTGTTTCCTTTATCAACAACGAGGTTCAGAAGCAGTTATGCGTGTAAGTTTATGCTACAAACCATTAACACCACAAAGGATTCTTTTATCAATAAAATAATGGCACGGGACGTCTTGGAACTGGAATTTGACTTCAGTTATAGATGTTATAAACGCTGACGATGGAACGTAGGAACTGCTGTAGCTGAAGCAGGTTGGCTCTGAGTGCGGATGTACTTTGATGGTTGTTGTATTTAGTTGTTGTTGTTTTAAGTTGTACCCAATATTGTCGCTGAATTTAAACAATTAAGGTGTGTTTTACATATTCATTGTAGACTAATATGATCCATGTACGTGTACGCCGTTAGTTCGAGTTTATCCTGGAATCACAGTTATACTGATTCGATGCTCTCGAGACGCTCAGCTGTCGAATGATGACTCCTTGAAAGTTTGTGCTGTTTGCAAAAAAGTATTCAATGCCGTTTAGACGCTAAAAGATAAATGATCTCATTGCATGTTTCCTTTATTGACAAAGAGGCTTATGCGTAGTTATGCGTGTAAGTTTATGTTAGAAACCATTGACACCACAAAGGATTCGTTTATCAATAGGATGATGGCACGAAACATCTTGCAATTCAGACCTTACAGCTCTTGAAACTGAAAAAATAGACTTAGTACAGTTAAAGAACTTGAATGTGACTTACATTTTAGAAGCTCAATTTTTCCACTTTCGAATGAAAAGGATTATTATAACATAGCGCGCGTGCTTGCCCTATATAAGTCCTATTGAGCCGTTATGAAAAAATTCTTAAATTCGCACGCCCGTGCGTAAATAAGATGACGTGAGCATTTTTTTTACTTGGCTTCAGAGTTTTCGTCCTGTTAGGCTGCAGAGCAGTTTCCCTTCTCTTTGAAATATGGAAGAAACCAGTGAAGAACTACCCAATTTTTCTATCGGCATTGACCTTTTAGGTCCTTATCCAACAGGCAACAAAAAATAAAGCTGAAAAAAACTCGCAAGTTGCACGTTTCGCAAATTTTTCGGAAGCATGAACATCATTTTGAATATTCAAAACCCTTGATAACTTCGGGTCTCTGACTTTTAAAACATTTTTTAGTGACACTTGAGTTCATCTGGCTTTGATTTTCTCCATTTTCCCCATAAATTTTGAGCTTTTCATTCACAGTTATCGGTCAACTGGATCACATGTTCTCGCTGGAACCAAAGTAATAAATGTGACGTGTTTTTGACCAGCCAATAGGGACGTTTGTTTACTTTTTTTGAGCGTAGTGAGAATTCTCAATAAAAGGCTTCTTCGCGCAGATCCTTGTTGTCGCTCTGTTATAAACGAATTTGCTCATGCTTTTAGCTGTGCGTATATCGAGTATAATGGATGCACTTGGGAAGCTTGGAGGGCACTCAGAAAGCTAGAGCTGATCTCGGCTGCGCCTCGAGCGACTCCCACGCATTTTTCGTGCTCTCCAAACTTTCCGCGTGCATTCATAACTCGATATACGCACGCTAAGCATGAACAAATTCTTAATTTTCCCAGCCAGCAACTTAAATAGAATCAAAATCCCATGCAGGAAACTAAAAGATTTTTTTTTTCTTAAGGAAATTACGATTTGCTTTCAATTATAAGCCGGCAAGATATTATAGCAACTTTTAATAGAATGAGAAGAACTTAAAGACTGAGATAGTTATTGCATGTCATAAACACTACCTTCTGCATACTTGCTTAATGTACTGACTATCATTTAAGACCGATCATGATCGATTATTGACGATTCTTGTGTAGTCTATTGCATTTAAAGAAACATTGTGTGATATTTGGTCAACGATTAATCGGTGCAAAGACTTCTCGGCTCGAGACAACCACAGGCAGCCCAAACTGTAAGAACGAGTACAATTTTTCCCACATCTGTGGCATGGCTTATTTACATCACATTAGCCAAAGTGATTTCGCTGAAATAGCGGTTGAAATTTCGTTACATAAGAAATATGATTATCAAGTTCTGTGTAGTAGGCTTAAAACCGTTTTGGCAAATGGCAAATGCCATTAAAAATATTTTAGAGATTGGAGGAAAAAGCACTAAGAACTGCAAGTACCCAAAAACTAAAACAACTGTAGTTTTTTCGTTTGTCTTACGATGTAGTCACGTGTAATCTACATCACACGTGACTACATCGTGAGACAAACGTGAAAACTTAGCTTTTTTTATTCACCACGATGAATAACCACAACCTTTCTTACGCAATTAATTGTCGTATAACAGTTGCAACCGGCCAGGAATTCAAAACAACGAAAGGGAATCCTCTGCTAACTCTAAAAGAGCGCTTTTCGATTGGGCGTGGCGTAGGATGAGCGTGGTTTTCGTTGTAATGTTACCCTTAGTTCTGATCGGCCCGTATTACTCTCATTTGGTGTATTAGTTCTATAAGGTCTTAATGGGTAAATGGGGTTAACTATTAGCCGTTAAACGGCCAAAAAAATTGAGCCGTGAGGCGGAGAAATTTACAAAAATTCTAACGGGTAGTCGTAAATAAAGTTAACCGTAAAAAAATCTCTGGTGACAACAATGGCGCAGTGTTAACCGTTAGCCGTAAAAGCCATCAACACATTGAGACCCTCTTGAGCGACAGTCACTCTGTAGACTCGTAGCAAACGAGGATAAAAGCGAAAATTATGTTTTATTCAGACGTTACTTCAATGTTGAAGGCTTTGAAGGAAAAAAGAAGTTGACACTGGCCATTCGGTTTTTTTGTAAAGATCACATCACAGCTGAAAAAAAAAATCAGGTGATACTAACACTGTAAAGTTTTATCCATCTTCCTGTTTGAACTGGAACAAGTATATTCTAAATTGTCTTGTTGTAATCCTAGTCTACACCAGTAGAAAAATTGTCTGCCGAAAAAAATTAGCAGAAAGTAAGGGGAAAGTTATCGACATTCTTAAAAAAGGAGAAATTACGTTTATATTTTAATTACGGTTTCATAAAACCATCTGGCCCCAAGTTTGCGCTAAAGAGACATTTTTTGTTAAGCTTTGAAATTGAGATAACTTTCTTGGTCAGGACAAACCAAATTTGTTACAAAATCTCAAGACTAAACCTTTGCAACAGGTCCAATAATTTATTAGAAGAATCTGAATTTCATGGTTCTGAATTGCTTGGTTAATTTGTATCTAGTTAGCATGATAACAAATTAATTTACACTGAAAAAAGCAGCAGTTTTAGTTTGCTAACGAGTGTAATCTGGAAATATCTTTAGGGGATTGTTGATATGCACACGATATCAAAATACTAGAATCAAAGTAACCCCGTCTCGTCCATTTATAGCAGTTAACAACTGAGAATAAGATCAAGTCTAAACGGCTTCTGTAATTTTGATGCGACCAGAAAAATCTCTAAACAGTGATATGATTCGTGAAGGATGCCTGTGCACACATTGCACGCACATTTCTTGGTCTCAATTTGAATAACAACAGTTTGAGCAAAGTGGTCGATACACACGATCTTATCTCAGCTTGGTGGTTACTGCGGTATGCGCATTAGCATCTTTTTAATTGGTGGTTCTTTTTTTCTTTGTTTTCGTTTTATGCACGATCTACCATGCATTAGGTCATAAGGGACTCTTACAAGCTTCAACACCCTTCATTACGCACGTTTTGTACCTTGCACGTTTGTTAGTTCAGTTTGCATCCAAGTTCAAGTTTTGCCGTTTCTTGTCTATGAAAAACGCCGATAAGGTTTGTATGTCTTGCCTGTAGGTTTTGTACCTTCCGCTTTTGTTTTCTAGTGTATTTGCAACATTTGTTGTTTCTTTTTTACCCTAGAACCGACTCTTGTGGAAACGACATTTCCTTTTCAAACTTGACCAAGATTGAGTCTATCGTCGGTGAACTGTTCAAGAATAAAGTGAAACTCGTGTCCGCGAATTCTTGTGTGTGCGGATCTTATCTCAGCTTGGGTACTTTTCTGAACATGTTACGACATTGTACATCATAAGGAGAGAGAACAGTGTACTCCCTTATTTCACATCGTTTTCCGTGAATTTCTTAAAAGACGGCTGGAGAGCAAAGGAAAAAAAGTAGTTAATTGTACGCACACACTTCTGCCAAGAAAAACTTCTTGGAAAGGAACAGAAAAATGAAAATTATAAACAGTGACTGCAAATTATAGCCAGCTGAGTTCCCCATGGTGTGATAATTTCCACCAAGAACGATCGACTAAAACGGCTTTGGAATTACTCGCAAGATCTTGAAATCACAACCCACGAGGTAAGACACAAAAATTAACTATTTTCGATCGTTTGGCATTTATCATTTTTTCAATCACAGCTCACGGAAAGGTCTGTTTTCGGAGACGAATGGGAGTAATCGACAATCTTTTGATTGTCAGACACTAATTTATAATTAACGCAGGTTTCTCTTCTCTGTTCACTTTCAAATGGCAAGGAAATTCACTATAATTCGATTCAAATGAGTGTTAAAAAATTTAAAAAGTTGTCATCGTTAAAAAGTTTGTTCCCTTTAATGGCGCCTGAAAATCTTTTCTTTCTTCTGCCGTAAAACTGACGTTGAATGAGGAAATTTCTCTGAACTCGAGGGAACTATTGCAGATTCCATTCACTGAATTTCTTTAGATTCTACAACGCAATTTATGGACTGAGATCAAAGCTATGACCAAGTAGAAGTAAAAAGCCAAGTAGACGGCAACTTGAGAGAAGGACAGAGTAAAACTGCTTAAAAAAGAACTCAAAAGGACATGATCTTTTGAGAATGTTTTTAAGGATTTCAGTGGAAAAACATGGTAAAATTTCCGCACAGCCCCATACTATTGTAAAACAAATCTGTTTTCCCAATGGCAATCTATTGTTTTTGTCATTGTTTTCTCTATCTAAGAACTGAATGCATAATGTAGTATGGGGCTGTGCGGAAATTTTACCGATTTAGTAATGGTGACAGTAATTCATGTCGTCCAATTCGGTCTGTAATCATATGAGTAATTATAGAATTGGACTCTAAGTGGACTGGGAACGGTAACGATATGACAGCCAAACAAGAACTCAGTGCGCATGCTCGCCGCGT